TGGAAGGAAATGGGGAGAAATACTTGAGGAATTATCACATGTTTTAAAAATAATTCCGTCCCCAAAAAGCAAAGAGGTTGGCTTTAATGGAATTTAAAGCCTATTTACATACTATCCGGGGAAAGTCAAAGTCAAATGTCTAGAGGTTGACTTTTGACTTAAGAAAAATTAAAGAAATTCCTTGTGATGAATAAATAGTATTGGCACCTAGAGACAGATTCTTAGAGTCGTAGATTGGTAGAAAGAATTCGGTCAAGTTCACTCCAAAGTAAATATGATTAATTATTTTAATTATTTTAACGGAAGAACAAGGGAAGAGCATCACTCCCTCTTTGGGCATGTTATATAATACTATGTGGATCTATTTGAGGTGAGAAAATGGTGCCAGAACGTGGTCCCGAAAATGTTAGGACCTAAAAAAGTATCCTATACGGTCTAGAATGGCAAGGTAGGTGGAGGAATACCTAAGGGTGGTATTTTGCACGAATTTTATATTAATTTCCTCCCTATTTTAATGCCAAAATGATGAAGGGACATGGGGGAGACAAGTGAATGGTTGGATGAATGACACGTGTACGATTGGACGCAAGACACAGTACGGCTGGATAAGACACATGTATGGTTGGATTAGGGACATGTGGCTTGATGATGTAAGCATGATGTCATCATGATGAGGTAAACATGATGTCAAAGGGCACTTGTCACCATAAGATAAAAAGAGAAAATGGGCGGTCCAGATCAAGTCACGTATTTTTAAGATCAACGGCCTAGATTCAGTCTTGTTTTCTATAAATACCCCCTCCCCACCCCTCATTTTCAAGCAAGCCATGGATCTATAGGGAAAATCTTGCAAAATGGTTTCTAGAGAGAGAAAGAAGAGGGAGAAAGAAAGGCCAAGCGGTTATATGCAAGATCAAGCTCTGAAATAAGGTATGTTCATAGTTTTTGATGTAGTTTTTACTACCCTTGTTGTTGAGCTTGGTTATGGATTTTAATGATCTTTGGGAGCTTGGAACCCTTGGGGGAGGTGCTACACGAAATTCTTAAGATTAGGGGAAGATGAAATTGATGTTAAAATAATGTTCAACAACTTGAAAAGAACACGAATAAAGTGGTTTTATGCTGAAATTAGTTAAATTTCATGATTGTGTAACTTGAAGAAATGTTTCGGCCAGCCCTAGTTCTTGTGCCTAGGATGTGATTTTGATGATTTTGATGCTTCCAATATGTTTAAAATGAAAAATGATGTAGGGATAAGATGAAAGATTAATGAAGTTGGAAGCATTGGAATCAAAACTGAAAATTAAGTGGCAGATTTCAGTTTTGGCCTAGAACTAGGGGAAGAAATTGGATTTTGACAAATCTAAGCTCATATTTGGATTCCTTGAGAAAAATTGTGTAGGATTGGCCTAAGGGAACAATTTTTACAAAACTAGAACGCTACGTTATAAATTAAAGAAAAAGGGATTAAGTTTAAGGACATAAGTCTTCCATATTGTGTAATTCTTGGTCCTAATGAGTAATGTGACTCTTGTGGCTGTAATTAGGACCTTGAGGCATTCAAGAGAAGGTTTTGATGTGGTTGAGTAAGCAACCTAGATGGTTGGGAAGCTTAGGGAGCAACTTAAAGAACAAGAGAAAACTTATAGTGCAAAGTAGCAAATTTTACCCTCCTCTGATCTTATGTGCTTGGTATTTGCTTGTATGTATGACATGTTTTGTGTTTATATGGTTTTATGAACTCATGCTGTGATTGTGAATATGTTTGAAATGTTTCATAGGCCTACGTGTTTTATGGTTAATGCATGATGATTTCCAAACATGTTACTATGTTATAGAAATGTTAAGTTACAAGCATGTTATGAATGCCAAACTTGCCATACTTGTTTGAGTGGTTATTGTTTGCTATTGGGATTCTCCCAAATCTCACTCTCCCTTAACCAAATATAGTAAGTCAAATGATAAAGAGAAGGCATGCATGAAGAAGGGCAAGAAGATGGAAGCAATGAAAATGGAAAATTTACATGCGTTTCAATGTAATAATTGACATTGCTAATTATGCAATTAATTGTGGATATGTCAAGCACAAAATGTGATGTAATGTTTGATGTATAATGTAATGTCATGAAACTCAAAGTATATGAATGAATGGGAATCTATAAAGCCAGTTGTTGCATGTTCGAATGAAGGGAGAATTAGAGTAAGAATTGTTTGATGGATAAAACGTAGGTCCTAGAGCAGTCAGTTTCTAGCTTCAGTCTGACCTATCAAATAAATGATTTAAGGCATGAAATTTGATGTGATTAAAGTACACATCCTAAGCTTTAAAACAAGATGTAGATAATTTAAAACGGATGTGTGTGCTAAGAGTTACGCCATCCTAAAATTGGACCTGTATTCTGAAAAATACTTAGTGAACAGTACCCGAAAGCTCTCTGTGACCTCAGGTCGCAACCTAGGAAGTTGAGCTCGCGACCTGGGAGCAAAAATGACCTCTGTGACTTCAAGTCACGACTAGAAAGTACCAAGTCACAACCTGGACATTTTGTGGACTCAAGTCACGACCTGGATTGAAAGTTTGGGGAAAAGCTTCAATTTTGCCGCAAATTTTCAATCTACGGGCTTGTTTTGTGAATCGCTTGAACCATAACGCTTCCAAACACGTACTCTAAGGGGTTAAAGGCAGGATGTTTCGTATTACATATCCGAAGATATAGTTGAAATAATTTAATTTACTCTGAAACTTCATTCAAACTTACATATCCTTATCAGTTGCATTTGCTGATTGATAAAGAGTCCCCTGCTAGAAATTCTAATTTGGGCCCTAGGATGTTTCTTATTTGGAGACTTTTTACTGTTTGACTATTCCTTTCTTGGCTGCTGTTTGTTTCGTTGATTTTAGACGGATGTTTGTTTTACTTGTTTAGAAATGCAACGTACTCTTTATGGCAAAACAATGTGACGCTGCCTACATAGGTCTGATAAAAAACTCCGTGGTAGGATAGATTAATTGACAATTAATTAAAATTATAAACTGTACCAAAAAAAACTAAAATTATAACAGGCTCAGACATGCTTAAAAGGCTTCTTTAAGAACCTAGACTTGGCTTGTTAAGAGAAACAAGCCTTTAAAAAGCCTCGACCTATTCTTATTTTTAAACAGGCTAGGCCATGCCACATGCCCATTTCCACTGTCAAACTCAAAAAAAGTACTTGAATCAAACTTTTAGAATAGTATATAACCATTAATGAAATCTATAGATATGCTTACCATAGAGCACAGAAATTTCTTGTGACAGAAGAAGTGTGCGGGAAAGTGCGAACTTAGCACAAGAATAAGGGCTTGGATGGATGTAGAAATTGGAATGAATGGCACTTGGGTCCCACAAAAATAATTTTATATTCCTCCGAAATATAAGACTGATTTAATTACTAATAGGCTGCATATAATGACTGAGCCACAACTCGGATTGGCATCATCATGAGAACCCCGAGAAAAGAAGTTGTACAAGTAAGGCCCAAGAAATAATTATCACAAATTAACCTCCAAGTACAGCACTATAATATTGAAATAGTATACTTATTCATTACACACACATTATTGCAAATAAAAGGGAAATAAAACTTTCAAACTACACACGCAAGAGGTTTTCAGATGAAAGTGATCGATGATGGATTGCGTTGTTTGAATAGTAAGACATGAACTTAATTTTGCGAGTTTGGATCTGTTTCATTTTCCGTTTTCTGGGGCCTTCGGTAGCGGATGGCACTTGTGGTGCTGCGGTCCGGGGGTGGAACCTTGGTAAACAAAGACATCAACGTAGGACCGATGAAGATGGGTAGTGAGACAATGGTAAGGATGGCAATTGGTGAGCCAAGAATTGCGTAAGTTGTTAAAGATTTGCCAAGGAGCATGAGAGAGATCCACAAAGCGACAATGGAGCCGAACATGGTCAAAATAGCAATTTGAAGCATGAAAGGAACGTATTTCCAAAATTTAAGAGATTGAGAACGAAAAGCAAGTATACCCAGAAAAGAGATGGTGGAAGTGAGGGACAAGGAAAGAGCCACAATTGCTGGGTAGTTCTTTTCATCGAAATTCTCTGCCACGATATAGGAATAGGCCATAGACGCAACTAGGGTTGATGCCACAGAACATGCTTGTGAGGTCTGATTCAACCAATCTCTATCGCTTGTCATATATTCCTTGTAACTCTCTCTAAAAATTTCTTCTGCGGTTTTCCCTTCCTTGTTGTATATCTCCCACAAATCAGAAGGCACGGATCTTTTCACAAACTGCATCACCATTTAAATATATACCATAATATGCTTATTTATCCAACATTTTGAATAAATCTTTGATCTAAAGTGATAATCGGCATCTTAATTTTTTATTAGACTTCACGGCTAAGACAGAGAAATCTTAATTCTACCTCTGGTCTTTAATATAAAAGCTAGTTTGATATTCAATTTGATTATAAATATAAGACCCCAATTTACTTTGTTTCTCATACATTTCCATTTTTTCCCAAGGTAGTTCTTATAGTAGTTGCATATGTTAAAAGTTTCATCAAATAATAGTTCTATCTAATACACATGATTAGCAAGGGTATTTTAGGGAAGGCAACATCTATTTATTATAAATAACTAATTTAACTAATTTTCTTAATATATTCAAATTAGTCAACTAGTTCTTATATTAAGGACAGGAGGTAGTATATAGTAAATAGAGACGCACCTCAAACCACTTGAATTCCTCTACCATGGTAGTTGTCTGCCAATTTAGGTGGACCCCAAGCCTGGCTGCCAAGTGCAATGCAGTGTTTCCATCTTTATCCACTCGACTAAATACAACTTTGTCAAGTTTTTCATTTCCACGCAAAATCCGATACAACTTGGTCTGCCTCTTTTCTGCCGCTAATAGAACTATGTTCTTTTTATCTTCATTTACAACTTCGATTGTAGATGGAAATATTCTAGGATCTTTTGTACCATTTCTGTTACACCATCTTAGCAGCAATCATTAGGGGTGTGTCAACTATTTTAGACCCTGGCCCTATCCAATCATTCACAGTCCAAATCACAAAATTAGATTGTTAACGTTGTTGTCGCAGATAAAAATCACCCTAACGAAAAGACTACAGTTGACCGAATAAATTATTTAACCAAACTCGATCGATCATTATTCATTGAAGATATAAAGGTAATTTTGATGTCAATCATAACGTAGAGAGGATTATAGGTGCAAAATAACGCTAAATAAAAAAGTCTATGGACTATTCCACACAAATTCAGAAAAACTTTTAAGAGTAAGTTATACAATTGTAATTAAATTCAGATTGTTAAAGTTAGATCAATAAGAAAATATTTGATATTGATAATGTTCATTCGATCATAAATTTTGTTAAAATTACTTGGGTATCTCCTTTATGTTTCAAAATTAACACAATTTCAGCTAAAATAAAGATTGAATTTAACAAATCCTCTTGAATATATATACAAATTAGATTAATATATATTTCTATTTTTCAAATATGCGCAAACTTTTCGTGAAAATAGGAAAAAGGATCATGTAATTTCAAATCGCTCATGACAAATATTTGCAATTAATTTATATTTTAGAACTTGCATGCATTTTGAAAATAGAAAGAATGTTTCTGTAATTTAATAAAAATATTCAAGACTATTTTGTATAATTTACATTTTCGTTTTCAAAGAAGTGTTTAAATTTTTTAAAGAAAGTATATAATTTGAACAAAACTATAAGAAGATATTGATGATGTAATTTAATCCATACGTTTTGTCATTAACTAACCATGTAATCCGTATTGATAATCCAGGACGGTGAAGGTGAGGAATGATTAATACTACTCATCCAAAAATGTCATGTTCTATATATTTATAATAAATTATCAAGGCTTTAAGTACGAACTAACGATTGAAATTTTCATAAATCTTATTAATTACCGCTGCCCCCTTCATATGGATTTGCTGACATATCTTCAGGGGAACCATGCTGGAGAAGCTTTTCCACTATTTGAACAGACCATGTGTGCTCTTCCTTCAAGTTTCGTATCATATGGAACAGCATTTCTAGGAATCAGAATCCCAATTTCAGAACCCCGAGTCACTTGCAGCAAAATATTTTAACAAAATAGTATATAAAAATAACTTATTACTATGTATAATTAAAATAAAATATTTTCATTCAAACTTTTCTATTTGGCCATTGAGTTTAACCCATCAATAATATTGTTAGGATTTTTCCTCAAGTTTAAAATTTCAATAGAGCAGTATATGAATTACTTTTATTCAATAGTTTCACTACATAAATACTCGTAAGAATATAGTTATCAGCTCATGTAATACACAGGATGGATACAATTAGAAGAAGATAATTTGTCTAATAACAAGAAAAATATAAATAAAAGATACGGGAGAATGAATGGTTGCAGAATTGGTGGTTTTAGTCATATGGAGTAGGTAAGATGTCTAGAATTTTAGATTATACTAGACTAGAGGCTTCCAATCGACCTCTAGCTCCGATATAGGGGGAAATATGGGAACTAAAAAGCTCCTTCGGAGGTGAAGATTTTTTGGTTTTGGGGGGGGGGGGGGATGCAGAAAATAACGTTGTCACTTGTTAAGAGAATTTGTTGTGAAGTGCTGGTTGTTTGATCTGTAACAAGCATGGAGTCCGTTGAACTGCGATTTGATGAGATAGATTTATGGACATACAAAAAAAAAAAATAAGACTTGTAAAAAAGATAGATGAGGAAGAGTTTATGTGAAAATCATTTAATGTGTTTTGGGCATGTATAAATTAAAAACTGAGAAGGCCACCGGAGATGCTAAAGACAACAATTGTGAGTTTTGTGAGGAGGCCTAGAGAAAAATCAAAGAGAACATTTAATGATGTTATTGATTAGGATCTTCTTATTGACAATTTATCCGAAGATTTCATGACATTCTAGTTTCTTGTATATATGCATTCCTTCTCTTTGTAATTCTTGCTTTAATTTGGCCTGACTTTAATTTTCACTGGGAATAGTAGTAATAGTTATGGAGATAGATATATAAATCAGATCCATGTGCTTATATAAGTTCATCATTCTCATTTAGTAATGTAGACATGTGGGCTCTTTTACGCATATTGACATGGCGTACCTACAAATGCTGGGGGGAATAGCAGTATCACCACCAAAAGAAGCAGCAGAATCACCATTGCATTCCTAATCTCCGCCCAAGTGGATCTTTCATGATAATCAGCAATACGATCTGAAAATATGAGTCACAAAATTTATTACTTAATTAGATTATATATCAATTTATAAGTAAAGCAAATTAGTTTGGAAAAAAAAGCAATAAACATAAATATAATTTAGTAACTTCTTTAATATCTCTAAATTAGTCAACTAAGTTTTATATTAACAACAGGAGGTAGTGGTTGCCAAACATGCATGAATAAACCATATACCACTCAATTCCCAAACACTAATTATTGACATCCGCCCTTTAAATTTTGTTAAGGTAAAATTTTTGTTGAATCTGAAGAAAGAAATAAGAAATGGAGATAATACTCATATGTGGGAAATTTGACTCAAATAATGAGGTTATATATATAATCAATAATAATACAATAATTCTGCTGGATTTCGTAAGTTTAGAAGTGCATGAGTTTTCTAGCATTACAAAAATAATTCTTTTAGCATGATTGGTGACTTTATTTAGTTTATATAAAAATATCTGATTCATGTAAAGATGAAAAGCCATGGGTTACTGATTATTAATCAAATGAATTTAAAATTCAAAGAGGGTACGTAGTGGTAACATTGTGAGTTTTGCCTTTCCCAAATTTAGAAGATGATGATACTTAAAGTAGAGTATGAGCTAATAAAAATTCCAACATTAGCAGTTTGGTGGGAGGAGATACACTTCGATCAAGAAGTCTTATATTGCTTAGAAAATGGGCAGAGAAGGCTTTAAGAGCCTGAGGTGATAAGATGGAATTAAACATTATTTTGGATTGCTATAAAAATAAAGTTGTGATCATATATATGATCACTTTTATGCATTTTTGGGGTTTAGTGGAGTTATATAAAGGCCAAGAACACATGGGTAAGTTTCCTAAACTTGACCCTTAGCATTAAATCCCAGGTTTTTAAGGCTTTGAAGGTAGTCTTGGGAATTAGGTTTTCGTGGGTATGGGTCATCGTGGGATTTGGCTTCTTGCAATTATCGGTGGTTTGGTTTATTAATCGTTCGCTTCATATAACTAAAGAACAATGCTTGTAAATCATACTTACCTATATGAACAATCAATCCTTTAATAAGGGCCACAAGGCGTGGTTCACGTTCACGTTGTTCCAATTCGGCCTTCGTCGTGGCATGCTTCTTTCTCTTAACTCTAAAAAGGCCTTCAAGTTCCAAACAAACCAAAAGTCGCACGCATATTATTATTTTCATAATATAAAATTTAAAATTGCACTCTTGAGAAGTGTATTTTTTTAAAAAAAATTGAGGCCATACATAAGAGAAATGTCCATGACATTCAACAACTTTTTCTGCTACACATAGACATCCTCATATGTAAGATAATTCTATTCGAGATACTATTAAATACTAAATATGGGCACTTCTTTTAGTAGCGAAACTTTTTCATATATTCCTCTCAGCACCTCTTTTGTCCATTTAGTTTAATAATGTTGGGCTATACCTTGTTCGCACTTGATGCATTATGGCCCCAGCCATTTTGGGGAATAAATGTAATGAAAAAGTATGGGCAAATACCTGTGATATCCTACCTCCAGTCTTAGTTATAAGACTTTATTTATAATCTATAAATGAGGTCTTATAATTAGGATTGGAGGTAGTACTATACTGGGGGGAGATAGTTATCGTACATGGGATAGGGAGTGAATATAGGAGTTTTTTTTTTGGGAAGATCATAACCTCCAAAGCATATCCTTCTCCTTCACTCTCTCAACAGGAAAAAAGAAATGCTTTCATCCGTCAGTGGATCCTTCATTAGTATCAAAGCTCTTGTAGATCTTATGGCGTGTACAATATGCCTTTTGTATTAAAAAAAAAAATACACTTCTTCTCTCCCCATATTTTCTTCTTTGGTTTTCTTTTCTCCTTAGTTTGCTCTCCATTTAAATGCAGCATAAAACTCTTGAGTATGTTAGATGATAAATGAATGAAATTGAAAATCATTGGATAGATAATATATTAAGGTCCTACATAATAATCGAGGTCAAGGACATAAATTGTCAGGATTTTGCAACCATGATAACACATAAATTAAAGACAATATGTACTTACAGCGATAAAGAAGTTGAACAATGGAAGATCGATCAAGAAGATCATTACTTTCGAAAGCTGAAGGGGTTCCTGCTAAGAGATGGAGTGGAGACAACTCATTCTTATTCTGCTTGAGCATCTCTTTCAAATGATCTTCATAAAGGTGAACTATTTCGATTGCCACATCTATTAAATCAAATCAAACCATGTGCACGCACTTGAATAAATAATACATTAAAACACAGTATAATATATATATATATATATATATGAGAAAGAATGAATAATTTGCTTCTATTTACCAATATGCCCTTCTTCTAGTGCACAATGAAGTATGGTATCATCGTTGTTCCTCCTTATTATAGAGCGATCAAAGTCTGTTGAAGAAACTCCTGGGCTTTTCATATACTGATAATGAAGCCATAGAAAAGCTTTTCTGTTTCCATTGAGAACTGCCACGAAGAGAGGTGTCTCACCATTGCCATTAGGTATGGCAATTAATAACGGATCTGCGCCGCTGATCTTCTTACACATTTCAGCATTTCCTATTGAAGCAGCTAAATGCAAAGGAGTGTTACCTTTTTCATTCTGAACTCCAAGGACGGACTTCTTCTCATCTCCATTTTCATCCACCGATGACACTGACGCCGACTGCTTCTTGTCCTGCTTATTCATCTTCTCTCCACCACAAACTATGTCCACCAATGATTCCACAACATGCTCTTTCTTAGTATACACTGCCATGTGTAATATGGTGTCTCCTGTTGCTGTTATCTTGGCCATACGAAGATCCCTTTTTTCCTCGTACATCTTAAGGACTTTTGCCCACTTGCCAGCTTTACATAAGTTCTCCACTTCCTCTTGATGAACGATACCGCTGGAGTTCATCATTGTCTCCTACACAATTCGCTTTGATGCATATTAACCAATTTTCATGACCATATATAGTATGGACCAAGCCTAAAAAACTTTTGGGTTATATCAAAAGTTCACTTTTAAAAGCATGCTTCTAAATTGAACGACGTTGTGCGAAGATTGTTGGGGTAAGCTGTCTAAATCAACTCAATTTTCTAAGTTATAAATGAATATTTATCCGAACAATAGCTTGTGTCAATTAGGAACTAGAAAGCTCTTCATTCTTTCCCTTTAGTAGAAGTCTACTTTAATGAATTGTACTTAATTTCGTAACCGAAACTATACAATAGAAATGTAACTTTTTGAATTCAGGTATCTTTTTAATGTCACAGTACATGTCAAATTTATTGACATATTCTTTTTTTCCCAAATAGTATGAACTCTTTAACTTAAATTGAAATGGCGTAAATGAGAATTATATAGGGACAAAGACATGAAAATACTCCCGAAATATGCAAATAGTCTAATCACAGTGAATTCATAAGGACCTAAATCACTTAATTTGAAATCTAAAATTTGAAAAAGCGAAATGACATAAAACACTTGTTTAACAAGTAACAACTTTAACATTTCAAATAATAATAATAATGAAAAAAAGGCAACGACAACTAATTTCAGTAGAAGTAATTAGATCATTTCACCCAAAAACAAAACTTAATTTCAAAATAGTATTTAGGGACTTCATTGGAATTAAGTCATTTTGAGAAATCGTTTTTAGGTTCTTATATTTTGGTGGTTCTTAAATGTCTTTCTCCCTAATATTTATGGGTTAAAGCTAGTTCTGTGGAAATCGAACTACTCCAAACAAGAATCCCAAATAGACGATATAACCGTGACACCAAATTACAAGTGAAGAAGATCAATTCGAACCTGAAAAGGGGAGGATTTACCAAGAGAGAAAAAGTAAATCACACAAAGAACTAGAGCCTTACCAAAGAAATAGCAGAATGAGATTGTGACTTTTCCAACCAAATCTTGAAGAACGTAGCAAGAGATGAGTGGAAAGATGAGATAGACAAGAAAAAAACCAAAGAGACAATATATAGAAAACAAGGAAATCATTCTTCTTAATTAAAAGTTAACATCTTGACCATTACTAGTCAATATAAATAAGTCTTATTAATATACATACTAGTTAGAAAAGTCTTGTTATAAAAACACACGTCGGAGCAATTTATTTTGTAGTGCATGTTAAATTACTTGCTCCATTTACAAGTCATGTTAAAGTAACAAAAGTCTATTTCTTGTGGTATACGTAGTTGGGAGGTCAAAAGCTGGTAGGTTAATGGGCTAAATTGTAACTTTAGATAAGTAAATAAATATTTAATTTTTTATTCCCACATTAATGATGAAATTATAATTTTATATATTGCTATTTAACATAAACCTAATTGTTTTTATTATAATACCAAAATAATAACAATAATTTTTATAATGGTAATTTAAACCATGGTTGGTGATTAGAGTGTGGATGAAGAGAATGATCATAAACTATGGGTTTTGAGGTGTCACGTAATTATGAAAGCCATATTTGAACTAAAGAATAAATTTTATATATATATATATATATATATATAGAATTGGACCATTACTGGCTAGTTTAATTTAATATTCTTCTCTCCCATCAATTTATCTTACTTGTTCCATTCTCAAGTCATATTAAGGTAATTATATAAGTCTCTTTCACTTGGTAGGCACATGGTAGCAGCGAGGAAATCAGATTGGATTCATGAGGGTCAAGAATTGGGGGAAAATTCTGTTGGGTTGAGGGCACACGTTCGTCACTGCTTATTAGTAGGTTAATAAGCTAAATCCTAACTTGCATTTTTTTTAAATAAATATTTAATTTTTGCACATATTAATAATAAGATTATAATTGTACATATTTATGTTAAACGTCAAATTTAGTTGCTTTTATTATCATAAAAATAATAATAATAATCATTTTATGCGCTGCATTATTCACTTCAAATGGCATCTTTGACAAAAGCCGAAGGAAATGACAAGGAATATTTTTCATAGACACATATTTCTTCAATCATTAAGAGACCTCAAATTTGGTCAACCTAAAAAAAAAAAAACAGGACACCCCAAAGAGCTATATTCCAAAACTAGAGCTTTAAAATTACAGAAAGGAGGGCCTGACGGACATAATCTTAGCAGAGTCCATTAAAAAAAAAAATCTAGAGACTGATTTCATAATTGGACAAGACTACTAAAGACAAAAAATTGAGGTTTAATTTTTAATTACCTATATTTAATAATACATCGTTGTCCCAAAAAACTGTACGTAATACCTCATTTTTATGTAAACTAAATAAAAGATCATTGACCATAAGGTAAAGAAAGAACGTTGGCCAGCCAAAAAAAAAAATACTTAAAAAATTACAAAGAACTCACATTAAAGATAAGCTTCCATAATATTTCTAAAAAAAGGAAAATAACTTCCTAAGTTCCATGAACATAAAAAATAAAAAAAGTGATCTCTGAAGTCCAAGGAGAATATCATATAGGGTGGCAAAAATTTTGTAAGCGATTATTGCTCAATTTTATTTTTTTTAAAAAAAACAATACGAAAGAAGGCCAATGTGTTTTCATAGTATAGTGGCATTCCATTAAAACTGGAATATGATGCATTCCATTCGATTATGCTTATAACCTCTAGTTATTAATTCTTACCCTTGTAATTCAAAAAATTTGAGAAAGAAGCGAAAGGGGGAGTCAAACCTAAGAAGATGTAAGGGCCCCTTTGGTACGTGGACTTACATTTTGACGGACTGGGAGTAAGGGTTGGAAAGGAAATGGCAATGGGAGTGGGAATGCTGTGGGATTAGGCTTTAAAATTGTGTTTGGTGCAGAGTAATATTTGAAACGATTGGATTCATTATTTTTATTTTATAAGTAGCCGTTAATTTTGAAAATACAATAACACCCCTGACCTCAACTCCCACACTCAGTCCATCGCCATTCTCGCAACCCATTCCTTCATTGTGGCTATCCTCTGTTCTCCTCTCAAACCCAGGGTCGTCATTATCTTTTCTCACCACAAAATTTAGAGTGACCTTTTTTTTTTATGCAAATCTTGATAACGATGACGGATCCTATGAATTTCAAGTTTCACATCTGCCAGACTGTGACTTACGAAGCATATTCTTCTTCTTCTTCTTCTTCTTTCTCCGCCATATTCTGAATCTTTTTCTGGGTTCTCTGATTGCTGCACTGATGGCGGGTGAGCTTGCGGCATTGATGCTGGTACTTGAAGGCCTCGATGTAGCGAAGGGTTTGGACAAGGGAGAGGAGGGAGACTCAGGTCCAACAATGACAGCACTAAAGGCGAGAGGAATTAGAGAGAGCTAGGAAAATGAGGTCGAGGAGTTGTGCTAGAGAGAAGGACTCCATGAACCAGAGCTGACGAATACAAATGGAAGAATATAGATACTGGAGATGGAGGAAATGGCTGAAACAATGACTAAGGAGGAAGACGCTGAATAGGGAGGGAGAGGATATTTTGATAAAAAAACCATTTTAATCCTGGGATAGATATTGCAGGACCAATGGCGTAGGTGGTAATGAGGAATCCCATGAAGGATAGGACTGGGAATGGAATCGGATTCCTCATTACCTCGTACCAAACATGAAAACTTAGGATTACTCAATCTTAGTCCCAATTACAACTTCTCAGTTCCACGTACCAAACAGGACCTAAATGTTCATGTTTTTCTTTTTCCTTTTTTCCCAACGTAAATGCTCATGTTACTGTTAGGAAGGGATGATTTACTTGTTTTTCTGTAATGACTCTTTATTTCCCCCCTCTTCATCGGATTTAAATCGTTGTTCTGTTTTTGTGTATGTCATAAAGCGTTATTTTTCCAATTCTAAATACTTGGTTTTTCTACTTATCTCTTGTTCTTTAAGATCATTGACTTGTTTTTCTTCTTCATGTTTCTTTCTTTCTGCTGTTGGGAGTCGTACGGTTTGTATTTAACGTTCGTGCTTGGTTTAGTCTTGATTCATAACTATGATCTATATTTTTCATTTACACCATAGCAATTTAAATTAAAGAGTTTAAATTTATTAGTCTTTTAAAAAGTAATGGTTAAAAATATAGTGATCTCCCATGTAGAGAGCAGAATTAAAAATTACATTAGAAAAATAAAAATGAAAATGAAAAATATTTGCGTGCAAAGTTATTGGTTTTCTGGATGTGTTATTCTTGATATAAGATAATATATATGAAAGATGACAATCGTTCGCCTACCAATAAATTAGCCATATAAAAACATATCGTGCATTACAAATTAACATCTTGACCATTACTAGTCAATATAAATAAGTCATACTAATACACTAGTTTCGTAATAAGTGTTATTTTCAAGTCATATAAATCCACTTCAAATCTACTGAGGGCAAATTAATTTTACTACTACTTGAAATTAATTATTTATATTTTAATTTTACACTCAACTTATTTCTTATGATTATTCATTTTATTTTTATCAATTTTTTATTGTTTTATTTTTGTTAATTAAAATATTTAGTGTATAATTAAAATATACTACGACTGTAACCAGCCCACTCATAGCTTTGATTATAGCGTGCAGCATTGTTTAGGCCAATTCAGGGTCTAGTCCGGATTTTTTTAAAACATACCCTGCCTTTTGTAATATTTTTAAATATATACAGAATTTTATATTATTTAAAATGAAGCTCATGGAAAGGATGATCTACTTAAAATTGTTTGCTATATTAGATAATGTCTCTTCGTTTTTCGTTCTTTTCCACCTCATCTCTGATTCTTCAAGATTAGGCAGGTGAAGTCAGAATCTCATTCTGCTGTGCCTTCGGTAAGCCTCGGGTTCTCTGTGTTGTTGACTTTTTCATGTATATATCATTTGCACTGTCATAAAAATATACCTGAATCCAATTTACATTTCTATTGTACCTTTAGTTAAGAGATTGATCGAGTACAATTGAAGAAAGTAGACTTGTACTAAAGGGAAAGAATAAAGAGCTTTCTAGTTCCTAATTCACGTGCGCAAGTTTTTCTTTGGATAAATATTCATTTTTATAATTAAGCAAATTGAGTTGAGTTGAATTAGATTACCTTAATAATGGGCGCATATGGTTTAGAGAGAGTGAACATAAGAAGATGATTAGTGTTGTAATTCAGGGCTAATTAACGACGTTTAAGTGAGAAGCAAGCTTCAAAGTGAAGTTAATTTAAGCCAAAAGTCTTTAAGGCCTGGTCCATTATTATCTAAATAATAATAAGACATGATCCATGCTTAGGGTCATGAAAATTAATTAATTAATTAGTTAGTTAGTTAATATGCATTGAATGAAGCCATTATTTGTGTGGGAGAGAATAATGACTTTGGACAACATCGTTGAAGATGTGGAGAACTTATGTAGTGCTGCGAAGGATGGTGAGTGGCCGAAGGAACTAATTTTGGTGCTCATGAATACTATGATTCTCATCACTGTAGTGAAATCAATATTATTCAAATAAAAATTATTTTTTTAAAAAAAACTTACAGTTAAAAGATTATATTCGTTTTGGATTATCTAGGGGAAAAGATTTTTTTAAAAACAAAAAAATTAAAAATTAAATCTCTGCTATCCATATTAAATTTGAACCGTTATCATGATGCTTATTATTGCACACCCCAGCGAAGAAGTTAGTTTTAAGTGAGGTCAATAATTATATTTTTATCACAAACCTCCAAGTTCAGTCCCATGCGATGTTGAAATAGTACACACTTATTACAGACAAAAGAGAAATAAAGCTATCAAATCATCACTACACACGACAGCTTTTTAAATGAAAGTCGATGGGGGATTGTATTGTTTAAATAGAACTAAAACATGCACTTAATGTGGCGGGTTCAAATTCTTGGTACTTCGGATGGCACCTATGGTCTTGCGGTTAGCGATTGGAATTTCGGTAAACATATACGTCAACGCAGGACCAATGAATGTGGGTAGTGAGAAAATGGTAAGGAGGGCGATTGGCAAGCCAATAATTGCATAAGTTTTAAAAGAGTGGTCATGGAGCGTGAGAGAGATCCACAGAGCAACAATGGAGCCGAACATGGTCAAAATAGCAAGGTGATGCCTGAAAGGAACATATCTCCAAAGGTAAAGAGATTGAGAACGAAAAGCAAGTATGGACAAGAAGGAGATGGCGGGAGTGAGGGACAAGGAAAGGGCCAAAAGCGATGAGTAGTTCTTTTTATGGAAATTGACTGCCACATTGGCAAAGGCCATGGATGCCACTAAGGTCGACACTACAGAACATGCTTCTGAGATCTGATTTACCCACTCTCTGTCCCTTGTCATTTGCTGCTCGAAACTTTCTCTAAAGATTTCTTCTGCTCTTTTCCCATCATTGCTGGGCGCCTCCCACAGTTCAGGAGGCACTGAACTTTTTACTAACTGCATCACAATTCATATATATAACTCACGCCACGTTTATTTATCCAACATTTTAAATAAATCTATGACTTAATGTGCTGATGAGTATTTTAATCTATGATTGGACCTCACGGCCGAGCCAAAGAGATTTTAATAGCAAATAGATACGCACCTCAAGCCACTTGAATTCCTCCACCATGGTAGTTGTCTGCATATTTAGGTTGACTCCAAGCTTGGCTGCCAAATGCAATGCGGTATTTCCATTTTTGTCCACTAGACTAAATGCACTCCTATAAGGGTCTTCATTATTTTCACACAAAATTTGATAAATCTTGTTCTTCCTCTTTTCTGCCACTAACAGAACTATGTTCTTTCCTTCTTCGTTCACAGCTTTCATGGTAGATGCAAAAAAGTCTAGAGTTTTCTCGACCATTTCTGTCACGCCATTCTTAGTAACAATCATTAGGGGTGCGTCAACTATTTTAGATGCTGTTTCTATCCAATCATTCACAGTCCAAATCACAAAATTAGATTGTTGTTATTGTCGCAGCAATTTGAATTGAGGAAAATCATGCTGACTGAATTAATATTTCTAATTATTCAACGAAACTTGATCGACCATAATTCGTTGATGATACATGGGTAGTTATGATGTCAGTCATAATGTAGATATATAGGACGTGAACCATTGAAACAATCGGTTTCTGAGTCGGCATATTGATGATACAATGATGCTTGTGTCCTCTCAAGTGTCATACAAACACTAAATTTTATTTGCCAAAATAAAAGGATCCACGGACTTCCACAGAAATTCAGAAAAAATTTTAACAGTAAATTATACCATTCTAATTTGATAGTGTTAAAATTAGATCAATAAAAAAAGTTTCATTTTGATAATGTATAATGATTAATTACGTAGTCGTCCACAAATGTCACGTTCCCTATATCTATAATAAGTTAATTAATAATGCTTTATGAACTAATGCTTGGAGTTTTCATGAATATTTACCGTTGTCTTCTTTTGTGCTGGGGAAGCTGAAGGCGGTTTAGAGGGGCTTATGGATGTTATTTCTGATAAATATTCTTCGGAAGCATGATGAAGAAGTTCTTCCATTATTCCAAGAGACCATGTGTGCTGCTCCTTCATTCGCCGTATCCCATGGAACCAATTTTCTAGGAATCAGAACGCCGAGTCAGTTGCAGCAAAATATTTATAGAAAATAATTTAAATTGTGCATAATTAAATTAAAACATGTTCATTTAAAGTTTTGTACATTGCCATTGAGTTTAACCCATCAATATATTGGGACTGTTATTGGACGTGATATTATCAACATTATAGCGTTATGCACCTTTCGTAGTGGAGATGCACAATTTAAGGAAAAGTTTTGAGAAGATTTTGATTGGTGGGAGCTTAATGGTCATGTCAGTAAGGAGGCAAGATAATATGCAGGGGCTTATGTTAATTTTGGTTATGGGGAGTTTGATGATGCACTGGGATATAATCTCGAAATCGTCGCATTTAATCACATGCCAAAGTAGAGCCTCATGATTGCATATTGACTTTCTTTTTGCCGAGGAAATCTGATAGAAGACTTTGTTAAAAATGCAAGGTGATTCTTGAGAATGGTGTGACACAAAACATAGGGGTTTAGGCCTAGATGCGCGTGTTAAGACTAAAATCCAAAGTGCCGACATGTTTAAAACTGAAGGGTTACGTGGTGTGATGAGAGCTTTTGTCGTTGATCTTGGGGTTTCCAATCAAAAATAAATCTAAACAATGCAATATAGTGTAAAATTCGGGTTGTTTCACTTTGAGGAGCCTTTATTTGAAATCCTAAGCAAATTAAGTATAAAAAATAAAGAATTAACTTGGAAAGGGATTGATTTTCTTTTTAACTAACTAATTGGCAAAATTTAAAAGGATGCAAAATAAGTAAATAATTTTTGTATTTTTAGTTTATAAAATGGATGTGAATGAAATAAACAAAGAGAATTAACAAGTGACAGTAAATGGAAAAGCAATCCTGTAGCATAATGATTAAAGCCATCATTACTTCAATTAATTTGAGAGTTAGTTAAATTCAAAAGACTCTAAGGGCCACCCCTAGACTCAGTTTAATTAGAATAATCAACACCAAGCCACCTTGCATATTAATTACTCACAATTAAACTATTTCAGCACAACTAGCCAAAGAGAATCAAAGAAAAGCAATTAACATTTTTAGTCCAATAAGCAAGCCATCTTGAATTACTATTGAATGTTCACAATAATTTCAAAACATAGCCTGACCCAGCACAATGTAAAGAAATTAAAGCTAATCACAGCATACAGTTAAATGTTAATCAAAGATTCTAACAACTACAACCAATCTCAATACAAATATAAATCATTACAGCATATTCAAATATTGTAAAATTCATTCTAGGACCTAGAAATCACAATTACAATAAAATTAAAAAAAAAAGAAGATAGGAAGAGTTGAAACTCCCCTTTTTGAAGCTCCTAGTTTAAGTCATAAACATTGTGCTAGAGAATCATGAAAGTCAGCCACGGTTTGTCATAGTGAAGGCCACAATTAACATTCTGCTACAAGCTACCACGGAGGAACGCCGAAGAGGAAAATATATCAATGAGAATGAGTTATTGGGATCTGATTGCAGCTTCACGGCGCCACTACTTTGTCGATGATCAGTCTGCCACGTGGAGAAGAATAAGAAGATGAAGGTGATGATCAGTCTGTTCTTCGTTCATGCTCTGCTTGCTTTCTCTTTTCTCTTTCGCCGCCAGTTCTTGCCTCCTCGTTCCAAATGATGATGATTTGAATAATAATTAATAGGGGGGTGGGGCATTTTGCTCCCCTTTTTTTTCTAATTATTTTTTAATTATATTTTTTATTTTTTTTCTTTTTTTAAATTTTAATTTTAATTTTTAAATCTTCCAAAAACTTGCAATCGAAATTCAAGAATAAGGTAGCATTAAGTGTCCTTAAAAATCAATTAATCATAATTAAACCAAAATATGACAATGTTGCCCCTATAAAATAATAATTCAAAATAAAACATATTAAATCAATTAACGATCAATTAAGGCCAAAAGGGACCAATTAAGTTGACAAAACCCATATAAAAGATATCAAAATATATAAAAATAATTGAGTTTGTCAACTTCCCCACACTTAGCCTTTTGCACTCCTGAGCAAAACATCAGTAAAAAAGAATCCACCAAAGACACTCAATGCAAACAAACATAAAACCAACTAAGCATGAATGTGCAATTAACTCAAGCAACCTTTATTCCTAATCAATCAACAATCATAGAATACTTCAGTATAAAGAAATTAACACAAGAAACATAGCAGGATAAAGAAAGAGAAACATAATAGAGCTCACATAGAGTACAAGTGTTTCACTCATCTCTCAAATGGAAAAAATTCCACTCAATTCACCTAAATTAGCACCTACCATAAGCTTGTAGAGATTCTAATGTTTCCACAACTAACATACCTTAAACTCATGATCAAGGGGACTTGAAAGGTTGTAATGTTAGAAAGCATGGCCAAATGAATGAAATGAATTAACAAGTGAAATGCATGAGTAATAAAGTATCAACTCAAAGTGAGCTAAAGTACAATCATAAACGAACACCAATGTGCGGATTTTAAACTTTTTGAAATAGAAATCCTTACTCTTCAAGCCACCATGGAATGCCTTATTTTGAATTTTATTCTTTTGTTACAACTTATTTTCTTTTTCTATGACTTTTTTTGGCTTTTTCTATACATTTTCTTCTCTTTATTGCCTTTTTCTATTTCTCCTCTTTTCTATTCTTTTTTTTTCTTTTTTCTTTTTGGTTTTTTTTTTTTTGCATCCAAACCCAAGAAGGCAAAGACATAGACATCAATGATGTACTTTTCAAAATGAAAAACCAAATATAACTCGTGCAAAACACTTGCTAAAAAGCAGTGAGTGAAATGAAAGTAAAGGCTCAAAGGGTTGAACAAAGGTTAAATAAAATAGCTTGTGTTTAGGTAAAGGGTTTAGAAATGAATAGCCCTATCATCCTCACAAATCTGGTATTAATGCAGCTTTGAAAAAGAATCTAGACAAGTTCTAGAGGTTAATCAAAACTAGGTGAAAATCACATAAGATGAGAAAAATACATGGCTAAAAAATCCTTCCATCAAGGGTTTTTCCAAGATGTTTCCTCCTTAAGGTGAAGCTATGAAACAAGGTTAATAATACTTCACCAAAGGCATTCTACTATGCTAATCAACTAAGAACAGAGATCACTCAAATCAAATGCAATCAAACTTAGCCGTACAACATTCACAAGCATTGTGCAAAAGGATTTTAAAAGGAGATGCTTGTTAGAGGTAATCTCACCCAAGAGGGGGTGAATTGGGTGAGTTATAAAAATCTTACAAAAATAAAACAATGAACTAACGGAAATAGAGAGTGTGAGTTAGAGAGATTTCACCATAGAAAAGTGGACACAGAATTTATACTGTTTCGGTTTCAACCACTTGACTTACGTCCAGTCCTCAGAACACCTCTGAGTATTCCACTATGTTCCAACATTAATTGGGCTCTTAGTGCCTCAGTACAGTAATTGATACTCTCAATCACTCCCCCTTACTACCCGTAAGGTTACAAACCCACTCAAGAGTCCACACTCTTGAGTTTCACACAAATCGTGATTAATGAAGAAGGGTACATACTCTCTTATAGAGTGAATAAATGATAATCACTGAAGTTCGGTATATGGAAGAACAGAGTATTGAATGTAACAGTAAATGATCAATAGAAGGTAGCTCGCATATTCAATCTGTTCATTTAATGCTTCTTCATGCCTTTTATAGTTGAGGTAGTTTAGTAACCGTTAGACGAAAGAGCTTCTAGCCGTTGAGAGTCCAGTTATGTGTTTTCCCAGTTGCAATGGTTTCCGCCATTAATGCTTCTGACAAGATAGGTTACAGGCTACTTAGACAACTGTTGGAGAGCCGTTGGGTTTTCCTTCGTAATCTGCAATAATACATTGATTCAATAAGTTTTTCTTTGTAAAGTAAGATCAATGGCAAAACCGAACAGACGATAAAATGAACATTCATAGTTTACGGGTAGAATCAATCAATTGTTAAATGTGCTGAGTAATAACTGATCGTGCTTGATCAAAGTAATGATCGATTACTGCTTGATCGATCAAGTTATCGATTATTCAGAGTAAGAGCTTTTGAAACAGATAACTAAGTTTATCAATCAAGTGATCAATAAAAGGAAATAGTGACATCATACTAGTATGCATAGAAAAAGAAGATCAAAGTCACTTTTGATTTTGAATCTCTTTAAATAGAGAATTAAGACAATCATGAAGGCTGAGAAAAGCTCAAATGAAATAGATGATAAATTTTGAGAAATATCGTGACCAGTTAAAGTTTAAACTGAAATCGCCTCATGATCGAACAAATGATTGACCACTTGTTGATCGATCAGGTTATCGATAAATAAAGTGTTATAGAATAGAATTTAAAGCAATAATTTTTCAAAGATGTTATTGATAAATGGATGATGGATAACCTTATCGATAAACAATAAGCAAAAGTATATTCAGTGAAAACACAGGCTATATAGGTTGATCGAATAGGTGATCGATTAATGAATGATCGATCAAGTGATCGATAAAGAGGTTTATTCTTGTAAAATCAAAGAGCTGATTTATCGATCACGTTATGTGAAAAACAAGGCAAATATGAAGTGCAGTGATCGATCATATTATCGATAATGTGATTATCGATCCCGTGATCGAAGAATCATGATTTAAAAATGATGTGCTGATTATCGATCATGTGATCGATAATTTGCTGATCGATCAGGTGATGGATAAGCTACTAAAATAATTACCTGCACGCAGAGCTATAAAGCAATGTTCGATCATATTATCGATAAATGACTTATTGATAAAGTAATTGATAAATGGTGACTAAAGCAAAACATAGAGTGAATAGAACGTATTACCATTTATTTGTCTTCTCATCGATAATCTGTTTATTGATCATGTTATCGATAAATGCCTATTAGATTTGTGTCCTTTTATCTGACTGATATTCGATCATCTTGATTATCAATCAAGTGATTGATAATTTAGTCCAGATTTTTATACCTAACTAAGTTAACAATGATCAATCAACACATTATCTAACAAGTTATCGATCAAAGTTTCTGCTAAATTACTTAAATGTATAGAGATATTATCTATCAGCTTATCGATAAGTCCTTGATCGATCAGATGATCGATCAACATACTAAAACACAAATTACTTACTTTGTTATCATCAAAACCTTAATCCTAACAATGCCTAAGGATTACAAAAGTCAAAAGTCAGCAACAAAGAAAATAGCAACTCGCCCATACATTAGTGTAAAACACTGAGGCGAATAAAAACACTAGGACATAAAAGCCAGCAACAAAATTCCCATGCAAGAATTACTCTCAAATCATATGATACTATTCAGAAATCAACCAATAAGGCAAAGAAGAGAGCAATTATAGCAGCAATACTAGAAAACAAGAGCAAATCCAAAGGCAAAGTTTTTTTTTAAAATAAACTCATCAACTCAACAATCCCTCCCCCACACTTGATCAATACATTGTCCTCAATATAAGAAAAACTACATTATCTTAACCTAAACTCTCAGGTGAAGTGAAAGTTGTGAAGTCCGATTTGAAATTGAAGCACAACACATCACTGTCACAAAGAGGAGAGAATGGAGAGATAGGATAAGATAATTTGAAATGAAAATGACAAGTATAAATCAAGTGATCAAAAGAGATGGCAGAATCAAGAGGAAACAAGACAAACAATTACTAAACAGAAATAAACAGCTACAACTACAACTACTAGAGAAGTTCCCTCTCTGACACTTACTCCTAACCATCTCAACAAACAGATATCACCAGCAATACAACAGAAAGTAAATGAGTAGGGTGGAAGACAACAACCATGTGATCAGGGGGTCTTTGATCCTCGTGGTAGTGCTTCAGCAGATGGCCGTTGACTTGTGAAGTTATACCGATCTCCTCATCTACAAGCTTCACTGTGCCAAAGGGATATACTTTAGTAATTCTAAACGGACCTTCCTATTTGGTGACAAACTTCTTGAGAATCAACTTGAAATATGACTTGTCTTGCTTACACCTTGGGATCAAATTCAAAATTAAAACCAAGGATTGTACTATAGGCACAATCTCGGGTCGTTTCACTTGTTGGAGCCTAAATTATTAATCCTAAGTTAATTAAATGCCATGAAAATGCAAATTGACTAGGGAAAAGTTAGGGGTTTTCATTAAAACTATTAATTGAGATAAAATGCAATGTAAATATATTTTTGTATTTTTGGAAAATTAGGATGGAATGGATGGGAAATAAGTGTTGAAACAATTAATAAAACCTCTTGAAAATGGACCTTTGGCAATCATAGTTCAAAATAATTTTGGGAGTAAAAATTACTAAGTTTTGTAAAGGAAAAACCTTAAAGAACCCTTTAAGTCTAGGATCTTAATCAATGACCACCCATCTTATAAGATCTATTAAGCTCACTTAGTGTGTGTATTAAGATTAATTAATGCACTTGGTTTAATACAAGCCCAAATTAACTCAATAATCAAACAATACTATGCAAGAAAAAGAGTATCAAAAGAGTTGCATAGAAACATATATGTAACCATATATATTGAAGCTCAAATTCAACATTAACTAATCCAATACACAAGATAATCATCTAGAATTGATTACAACCGTAATCAAAGCAGTTCAGCCCCAATTTACAAATCCTAAGACCTAGAATTTCATAAATAAACAACTAGAACTATGGATGAAGCTAACTCCCCTTTGAAGCTCTTGGAACTCATGTCAATCAACCATCTTCAGGAGTTAAAGAACCCCTAGCCCTCCATAGCTCCAAGCATTGCTCCAACCAGCAGCAACAGTCGAATCTCCATAGAAGAAGAGGTTATGAATGGATTAAAGGGAAAGATGATGGAATGTAATGAAGAATTAATGGAAGGAGGAGATGAGAGGATGATTTGGTGAAAGAAAGGTGAGGAGAGACCGAATGAGGCTTCCCTAGGTTGAAACTCAGCTTATACTGGCTACTAGAGGTGGTTTTGGGTCGGGTTGAAGCTTAGGGATCCGAATCAGAATGTTGAAATGGTGACTTCTGCAATTCTGACAAATCTGCCACCATCCGCCACGACGGATGGTACTTTTCAGTGAAAACGCAAAGCTTCATTTACTCAAGGCCTCTAGTGTAATTTCTTGACTGCTAGGGCCCTTTTCTGCGATTAATTCGATCTTTTACTACTTTTAATGTTGGGACTAAAGTGTGATTTCCAAATTTGTCCAAATTTCTCCCGAAGTACCTACAAGGAAAATCATACATAATATAGCATCAATTATCCTAGAAATCAATTAATAATAATTAATCTCCAATTATGACAATTTTACCCTTATTATGCACTAATTCAAGGTAAGACATTTTAATATAAATTAAGCACAATAAACACTAAAAGAGCTACTAGCTATGATAAAAACCCTTAAAAAGATATGAAAAGACAATGAAGAATTGGGTTAAATCACAGCTTCAACCGGGCTTTAAACTTTAGAACCTTGTCACCTTCATGAAACTGCTTCCTCAAATCTGTTTGTCATGAATCATTTTCAGCTTTTCTTTGTAGATTCTGGCATTGTCATAGGACTCAAGTCTCATGTCTTCAAGCTCTTGGACAAGTGAAGATTCGAGATCTCCATCACATGCCTTGATTGCCCAGTAAGATTTGTGCTCAATCTCTATAGGTAGATAGCAAGCCTTGCCATAGAGCAACCGAAAGGGAGACATGCCTACAGGGGTCTTATAGGTAGTCATGTAAGCCCAAAGAGCTTTCTTAAGCCTCTCAATCCAGTCCTTACAAGATGGTTTCACAATCTTCTCAAGTATTCGCTTCACTTCCCAGTTAGAGACTTCAGCTAACCTATTCATTTATGGGTGATAAGGGGTGGCAAGCTTATGATTGACTCCATATTTGACTAATAGAGACTTGATGGTCTTATTGCAAAAGTATGTTCCTTAGTCACTAATGATTGCTCTTGGAATGTCATACCTACAAAAGATATGAGAACATAAAAACTTGACAACAGTAGAAGCATAATCTTTCCTAGTTGGCACTGACTCTACCCATCAAGACACATAATCTACTATAAGTAATATGTATTGAAACCTAAAAGATGAAGGGAAGAGACCCATAAAGTCCATGCCCCACACATCAAAGATTTCACAAAAATGCATAGGTCTTAAAGGCATTTCATGCTTCCTACCCAAACTCCCAAACCTCTGACACTTATCACAAGACTTGCAGAAAGAATAAGCATCCTTAAATAGACAAGGCTAATAAAAACCATACTCTAAAACCCTCCTAGCAGTCCTATTAGCACCAAAATGCCCCCCGCAAGATAAAGAATGTGCAAAGGTAAGTATAGAGTTGATCTCATTGTTTGGAACACAGCATCTAATGATCTGGTCACTGCATTGCTTCCACAAGATTGGAGCATCCCAGATATAGTATCTTGCCTCCCTCTTCAGCTTATCAATATGAAATTTAGACATAAAAGGAAGTACAAGGTTAGTGACAAGATAATTAACTATATTACAATACCAAGGCTCATGAATAGCCAAGGCAAAAAGTGCAAAATTAGGAAATGAGTCAATAACAAGATCAGAAGAGTCAACTCCCTATGTGCCTTCAGGTAACTGACTAATATGGTTAGCTATATGATTCTCCACTCCGGCTCTATCTCTAATCTTGATATCAAACTCCTATAGCAGCAAAGCCCATCTTAGCAGTCTAGGTTTAGACTGAGGCTTCTTAAATAGGTAACGAACCGTTGCATGATCTATAAAAACAACCACTCAAGAGTTTATCAAATACTGTCCAAACTTATCCAAAGCAAAAAGAATAGCAAACAGTTCATTCTCTGTAGTGGTGTAATTGACTTGAGCAGAATCAAGCATCTTGGAGGCATATACTATGACTCTAGACTATTTCTCCTCCTGCTGTCCGAGCGTGGCACCTACTGCAAAGTTAGAAGCATCACAAGACAACTCAAAATGTAAATTCCAATTAGGTGCAATGAGAATAGGAGGTAAAACAAGCATAGATTTCAAAGTGTCAAAAGCATGTCTACACTTGTCATCAAATTTAAATTCAACATCTTTTTTTCAACAAGGTAGAAAGAGGCAAAGCAACTTTACTAAAATCCTTAATAAAGCGTCTATAGAAACTTGCATTCCCTAAGAAAGACCTTAAGTCCTTTAAACAAGTAGGATAAGGAAGGGATGAAATAACTTCAATTTTGGCCTTATCAACCTCAATCCCCTTTTAGGAGATGAGATGACCTAAGACTATCCCTCTATGAACCATGAAATGACACTTTTCAAAGTTCAAAACTAATTTCTTATCGATACACCTCTCAAGAGCCTGCTCTAGGCTATTCAAGCACTCATCAAAACTTTCATCATAAACAGTGGAGTCATCCATAAAAACTTCCATGTTCTACTGTAAAAGATCACTAAATATTGCCATCATATACCTTTGAAAGGTGCCTGGAGCGTTATACAACCCAAATGGCATCTTTCAATAAGCAAAGATACCAAAAGGGCATGTAAAAGTAGTCTTTTCCTATTCTTCCGGAGCAACAGGCACTTAAAAATAGCCAGAAAAACCATCAAAAAAACAATAGTGAGACTTTCCTGAAATTCTCTCCAACATCTGATCTATAAAAGGTAATGGAAAGTGGTCATTTCTTGTGGTATCATTCAACTTCCTATAATCTATACACACTCTCCAAGCATTTTAAACCCTAGTTGGAATCAGCTCATCATTTTTATTTCTCACTACTATGATATGGCTCTTCTTTGGTACTACTTGTACCGAACATACCCACTTGCTGTCTGATATGGGATAGATGATCCCAGCACTCAATAGCTTAGAGACTTCCTTCTTAACCATATCTAGAATGAGAGGATTCAGTCTCCTCTGTGGTTGCCTAACTGGCTTGAACCCTTCATTTAAAAGGATCCTGTGTGTGCAAACTGAGAGATTAATCCTTGGAATGTCCCCTAAAGACCATCTATATCCCTTTTATGACTCTTCAACACAAAAATCAATCTTTCTTCTTCAGAACTATTCAAAAAACTAGAAATAATAACAGGTAATTTAGAATTAGCAGTAAGAAAGACATATTTCAAATTAGGGGGGAGGGGTTTCATTTCTAAATCAGGAGATTGCACAACAAAAGGAACTAATTCTTTTATGTCAAGTGCATTCAATACAAGTGGCATGTCCATGTGGCTTAGGGAAGGAGATATAAGCTTGTTATGATGTGTATGTCCTCCACTTCCCAACTCAGTGGCATTCTTGGATGACCTACAAAAAAGAGGATCAGTATCAATTTTATCAATAGAAACATTAAGCAAATCACAAGGAAGAGTGGGATTAGAAGTGACTTAGTTAGTAGCAATCTTGTTGCTAGCCTCTTCTAATGTTCCAGTACTACTCAAAGAAGAAGCTACCAGTATAGCTTGTGTAACAGCTCCTTTATCATCATTACCTGCAAAATCAATAAACTCACCTTTCTCAAAGCTATCATCAAGTGTAATGTTCAAAGCAGAATCACAATTAAGACAAGATGATGCATCAAAATTATGAGAGATGGAAAGGAGGCGATCAACTTCTAAATAGTTAACACATACCATGTCACCATAACATGAGCAAAAAGAAGAAGGATAAGCGGTAGATAAACAAGTAAATGCATCATCATGCTCAACAATCTCATCATACTAGTCATGTTCATGCATCTCAGATTCATGCGAATCATCAACATCATTAACAGCACAATCAATCAAATTAACACCCAAGTAAAAGCAATCTACATAACCTTGACTTATAGCATCAGAAATGTTGAAGGTAATTTGTTGGTCCCCAAAGCCCATACTAATGACCATATCTTTCACATTGATTATGGTTTGGGCTGTTTTAAGGAAAGGTCTTCCTAGAATCAAAGTGCTATCGGCTTTAATCTCATCAGTCATATCTAGCACATAGGAGTCAGCTGGGAACACAAGACCCTTCACTTGCACAAGAGCATCCTCAAGAAAGCCCTTAAGGTGTCTCACAGTCCTATTAGCTAGATCTAGCACAACACTAGTGTCTTTTAAGGCATGAATACCCAAACTCTTATAGATAGAGGTAGGTATCTAAGTCTAGTAAGGCATGTGAAATGTTTGTTTTGCCTATGATACAGGGAATAGTGCAGGAACCTAGGTCTTTACACTTAATAGGTAGCTGTGGCTTGAAGATAGCACTAACACTAGATCCTAGTTGGATTCTCTCACTATGCCTATACTTCCTCTTGTTTGTACAAAGGTCTTTTAGAAACTTAGCACACTTAGGCATCTTTTTAATTAAATCAAGTAATAGCACATTAACCTCAAGTTTGCTAAACATTTCAAAAAGCTCACCATTATCTTTCTTATCAACAACTTTCTTGCTCGTGAGATATGAATGAGGAAAAGGAAAGTTAGAGATGTTTACCTCATCACCTTTGGAAGGTGATCCTTTCTCTATTGGCCGTTCAGATTAAATGGAGGTCTCTTAAGTAGCCTTGGGAATCTCTTGAGTGGTTTTAGAAGGAGGAGACTCAACTTCTATCTCTTCATCAACCGGTTCTTCATCCTCTTCATCTTCTTTGAATTGCACTTTCTCAGTACTAATTTCCTTACCACTTGTTAATGTAATCGCATTCAAAGATTTAGGATTTATCATCGTGTTGAATGGCATTGAACTACTAGCCTTAGCTTGCTGTTCACTCATACTATTTGACAACTTAGTGACATAAGAAGTCAAATTGGAAGTTTTGGTTTCCCATTGCTCCATCCTATTCTCTAGGTCTACAAATCTAGCTTTAGATTTAGCTTCAGACTTAGATATATGCTCAGCATTACCTCAATGCCCTTGAGTATTCGAGAGAACTGCTCATCATCCTTAGAATCGGTTGTTGTGGGGTAGATATGGCTCTAAAGGGTTCTCCTTATAACCCTCTATAGTAAGATTGCCCTTGAGTAACCATATTCCCTTGAAACCCTTCTTGAACTTGCCTATTGTCACCTCCTTCCCATCAGAGATTCGGATGAGCTTTCTACCCTTCATTATATGTATTTTAGTATGGATTCCATTGCCTAGATTGATTGGCCCTTCCTTGATATATGGCAGAAACTTCCTCATATCTATGAAGGCAAGCAGTAGAGATGTGCATAACAGAGTTACAATGCTCACAACTAGGTGCAGTCATCTCCATAGAATTAGGATTTCGAGTGTCAACAGGAGGAGTATGAGATGCAAGCTTATTCAACTATGTAGTCAAAGCAGCAATTTGAGAAGTGAATGTGTCCAATTGAGGAATGTGGACTGAAAAAGGATTAGTATGCATTGCATTAACATTTTTAGACTCCCTGGTGTTATACTATTGATGGTTCAAGGCTATTTTCTTGATAAGTTCCCATGCCTACTCAGTTGTTAAATCAATGAGAGAACACCTAGAAGTAGCATCCAACATCCCCTTGTCTTGGGTCTTAAGTCCATCATAAAAGTATTAGACTAACTGCTTATCTGGAATCTGATGGTGTGGACATCTAGAAAGCAAGTCTTGAAAATGGTTCCAGTAGTTGTAAAGTGACTCATCATAGTCTTGCTTTGCAGAGTAGATTTCTTTTCTCAATATGGAAGTCCGGGAAGCAGGAAAATACTTCTCCAAGAATGCTTTTATGAGGTTGTTCCAGTTATGGTAGGCATCTGCCATATGCCTAGGCAAGCTCATGTATCATTCTCATGCTTTGCCCTCCAAAGACAAGTGGAATACCTTCCAAAGAACCCCATCCAAACTAGCCCTGACTAACTTCATGCTAGAACATACCCTAAAGAGAGATTTCAGATGATTGTATGGGTCCTCACCTGTCAAACCATAGAATTTAGGCAAATAATTAAGTAGCGGACCTTTAATCTCAAAATTGACATCAACATTAGGGCATGCAACATTAAAAGGATCACTAGACGCGCTATATTCACTAGAGGACAAGTCAGACTCGTGTGAAAGATTTTCCTCTTCAGTTATAATCTCACTAGTCCTTTCTACCCTCTGGTCTTGTCTAACTTCCCTTAAAGAACTTTGAAGCTCAGGATTGGAAGGAACTAAGGTTTTAGACCTATCCCTTCTTGGCAAAAACAATCAACCAACCAGAAGCAAAGTGCAAAATTGATTTGCATAACAAGATTCAAGCAAAAGCAGATGAATGCAATGAAATGCAAGTGTATATATATATGAGAATTAAAAAAAAAGATCTAAATGACAAAAAGAAATGAAATGTGCAATGAATTAAAAAAAATGAAAAGATCTAAATGAAAAAAAGAAATGAAATGTGCAATGAATAAAAGGATCTAAAGACTTTTTTTTTAAAAAAAAAAAAAAGTTTTCAATGCAATTATATGATGTTAAATGCTAAAACTATGCAATACTAACTAAAATGCAAATGAATGAAAAATCAAGATGTTTAGTTATATTTTTTGAAAAATTTTCTATGCAAATAAAAGAAGTGCTATGAAAAATCAAAAGAAACAAATGCAAACTACTACAAAAGAAAATGCAAAACTAATAAAAATGAAGACTAAAAACGCTCAACAAATGAACCCCAATCAAGGTTATTGGACACTTAATTACTGGAGAACTAATTTCTTAGCTCCTCGGCAACGACGCCACTTGAAATAATACCCTTAATTTGTCACTTTGAGGTTATTCTAAAAATTAACTGAATTAATACAATATAGTACACAATCTGGGTTGTATTCACTTTGAGGAGCCGAAATGAATTAAATCCTAGTAAATAAATACAAGTAACCTAAACTATAAAAAAAAGATTGATTTGATAATTGCTAATTAAATATCATGAAATAAATTGAAATTAAAATACTTTTTAGTTTTTATATAAAAGTGATTAAAATGAATGAAGATGAAAGAAATAAAAATGAAACACACGAATAACAATGATAATAATCAATCTTCTAATTCAACAACACAGGTAATCCTCACTCCAAAAGATACGAGTTAAAAAAATAAATTAAGAATTATAATTAAGCTTTTAATCCATCAATCGAGCCGTCTTGAATTGCTAAAAAATATTTTCCTAAAATCCCAACTTACTAACTGTAACCAGAATAGTAAAATGGGATTAAGGATGCTAAAAACAAATGCTTCATTAGAACTCTTAAATCCAAAACAACAAAATTAAAGCTAGCAAGAAACAATATGATCCAAGATTCCAAGCCATCTCAGAAAATCACAATACGTTAACTCTAAAGTCAATACAAATGTCATAACCACAATATCAATTATATTCTTGAAAACTTATAATACCCGATTCGCTTAAAACGGGTCGGGTATGATATTATAAGATCTGAATATATTCAATTAATAATAAGATCTGAATAATATTTTGATTGGGATTTGGGTTTATTGAATTAAATGAGGAGTATCATTATTAAATGAGATTTTAATGGAGGCTCAAATGAAGAAATTAATAATTAATTTTGAATTTTAATAATATCTTAATTGGGATTTGAATATATTAAATTAAATGAGAAGTATCATAAAATAATATGTCAATTGGGGTTTAAATGGAGAGATAAATAATTAATTTTGAATTTTCATATGTTTCCCCTAAATTTCACATCTTTAATTCAAATACAATATGAAGGAATAAAAAAAACACACTTCTATAAAAAAAAAATCTTGAGCTATCTTAAATAATACAATTTATTAGAATTTAAAATTAATTAAATATTTTAGTTCGTGCATCGCACGGGGGAGAAATTTCTAGTTATAATTGAAATTAAAGCTATAAACAGCCCAATGTCAAATGCTAAATAGTGATCCAACCATAATAATCTCCAAATATAATCAGATCAAACAATACAAATTTTTTAATAATCAGAATAATTATCCTAAGACCTAAGAATTGTTAAACAATAATTAGACAGGAAATTAAAGTAACTAAAACTTCTCTCTTGGATGATCCAAGCTCCTGCCATTGTTGTTGAATTAGAGAATCATGAAACTCTAACCACAATTAGCCATGAAAGTTGTTGTAATCAATATTCTGTTGCGAGCTTCCGTGGAGGAGACAATGAAACGGTGATGGCGGGTTGGGTTGATGGAATGTGAAGTCTCGTGTTCTTCTGCCTCGCGTCCAGCTCTCTTGCTGCCGTCGGCTGCTCGTGTCTGCATCTCGGCTTTCTGGTTCTGTCGTGCCCAGGAGAAGAAGAAGGTGAAGCCGCCTTGGTCCTTCATTTGGTCCTTCCTTTGGTCGCTCACGCTACTGTCGCTCATTGGTCCTTCATTTGGTCGCTCACGCTACTGTCGCTCCAGGTCCCTGTGCGCCGTCAAGATAAAGAAGATGATGATTTGAATAGTGCCGTCGCCCCTGTTCTGTTCGCGTCTCCTTAATATGATGATGAATATGAAATTTTAGGGTGGGAGCTATTTATTTTTTTCTCTTTTTATTTATTTATTTTGATATATATTTTTAAATCTTCCAAAAACCGACAATCAAAATTCAAGAATAAGGTAGTATTAATTGTCCTTAAAAATCAATTAATCATAATTAAACCAAAATATGATAATTTTGCCCCTATAAAATAATAATTCAAAATAAAAAATATTAAATCAATTAACAATCAATTAAGGCCAAAAGGGACCAATTAAGGTGACAAAACCCATATAAAAGATATCAAAATATATAAAAATAATTCAGTTTGTCATGGTGGCAATTAAAAGATAAGAAGAGTGAGATTTGGAAAAGTAATCCTTTGGAGGAAGGGGTCTGAGAGTCACAAGCAAGTGCAAATATCTTGTGGGAGTCTTGGTGATGGAATGGAGTGTTTAAAGCAAGTTAAACAGAAAAGAGATGGTTCAAATTAAAGCCATATATTTGTATAATAATGTTAAAAATTGAGAAAGGTATGATATGGGGAAGAACAAAAAAGGAAAGTAGAAAAGCAATGAGTTGAATAACTAATTTGGAAAGAAAAAAATAGTTAAATTAGTTATTTGTCACTAACGTGTATTGGTTTTCTAAACTCTCTTTTTTAATCATGTGCTTTAAATGATTGCTTCTAACCCTTTACAATCGATAAGAATATTTTGAAGAAAGATAGAGATAAATTGAATTGAGCTTTTATATTTGTGATCAAATCTAACCTCATAACTAGCTCTTATATTAAGGAATAGAAAAAAATGCATGATTTTCAGTAGAAATGTACGCTATGCTCTTATATGCACGTTGACACGGTGTACCTGCTAATATTGGGGGGATTAGTGGCAAGAAAGCCAAAACACCCAGCAGAGCCATAATTATATTCACGATGAATGCCCAATAGGGGTTTCTTCTCGCTCATCAAGACGACCCGCGAATATGGGTCAGAAAATTTATTAGCGGCTAAACATGTACGAATAAACCATATACCGCTCTTTGACCCAAAAAAAAAAAAACATACCGCTCCAATCCCAAACACTAATTATTGACATTGGCCCTCTAAATTTTGTTAAGCATTACCATATGTGATTAATGCATGGTGCAACAATTACGAATAGAATGAATTTAAAATTCAAAAGATTGTAATTATCGTAATATAATTACAATTACCATAATTACTGTAAATCATTGTACTTACTTGAAATACACTCCACCAATGCAATCCCAAGGACCCTGATGCATGATTGGCGTTCACGTTGTTCCAATTCTTCCCTCGTCGTGGCCTGCTTCTTCTTCATAACTCTAAAATACCCTTCCAAGTTCCAAACAAACAAGCCACGAACATTTTTTTTGAAAAAAAAAGAGTACTGAATTTGGGAGACCATGTATATGTTGCAAATTAATGGTCAACGAGAAGTTGCCTTAATGACAGCGCTACTCATCACACCTTGGATGAGGTAGAGTTGTTATAAGAAGATTAACATGTATATTGCTATAAGAAGATTAAAATGTACGATATGAAGGCTTGTTTGGATACAACAGGGCAGAAACTAGTCATGATTATTGCAAGCATGAAATCACAAGAAATAAAGGACAACGTCGTACTTACAGTGATAAAGAAGTTTAACAACGAAATGTCGATGAGGAAGATCAGTACTTGCGAAAGCACAAGGGGCTACTGCTAAGAGATGCAGAGGAGACAGCCCATTCTTATTGTGCATGATGGTCATTTCTTTCAGATGATCTTTATAAAGGTGAACTATTTCGATTGCTACATCTGCGAAATCAGAGCAAGCCCACCATATATATGCACTTGAATAAATAATACATTAAAACACGATCATAATATATGAAAAAATGTATATTTTTTTTCTATTTACCAAGATGCCCATGTGCTATTGCACAGTGAAGAACGGTATCATCGTTGTCCCTCCTTAAACAGTGAGCAAAGTCAGTTGAAGAAACTCCAGGGCTCGCCATATAAAGATAATGAAGCCAAAGAAAAATTTTTCTTTCGCCACGAAGAGCTGCGATGAAGAGAGGTGTCTCCCCGGCATTGTTGCGTTTAGTAATCGTGGAAGGATGGGCGCCCCCAATTTTCTTACACATTTTAATATTCTCCTCTGACACTGCTAAATGTAAAGGAGTATTCTTCATATCATCCTCAGCTTCAAGGGTAAATTTCAGCTCATCGCCATTTTCTTCCACTACTGATTGCAACAGCGGTGGCCACTTCTTATCATGCTCATTGTTATTAGTTCTCTCTCCAAAAACAAAGTCCACCATGTCTTCCACCACTTGCTCTTTCCTACCTAACACTGCTAGGTGCAATATGGTCTCCTGTCTTTGTTATTTTGTCCGTACGAAGCTCCCTTTGTTCCTTGTTTATTTTAAGGACTTCTGCCCACTTGCCAGCTCTACATAAGTTCTCCACCTTTCGATGAACGAGGTAGTTAACGATGATCTTAAAAGTGCCCATCACTGTCTCCTACACAACTGGCTTTTATGCATATTAACTAATTTTCATGATCATATATATTATGGATCATGTGCTATTTGGATAATGAATCAAGGCTAAAAGACTTTTGGGTTATAACATGTTCAATTTCAAAAGCAGAACCACTTTTGGTGCTCATGAGCACTGCAAGCTTATCATATCTGGATCACCTAAATCTTATTTGGATTATCCAGATTTAATTTCTTTTTTATTTTATTTTTTAAATAATTATTTTAATGAGTATAGAATCTAAACTAAAGACAATCTCTTAATTATTTTTTCTAGATGATTTTGTATTTAAAATAAAAAGAAACTTAATTTGATTTAGATCATTCAAATCACATAATGGTCCAAATATAATGAGTTTGGGGTGTTCATCACTCTGATAAGCACCAAAACTCATTCCTTCAAAGGTATACTTGTCACTTGAGTGACATTATGCACAGACTATTCAGTTAAACTATTTAAGGGTGTGTGTGAATTGGTGTTCAGAAAATTAGCTTTTTATTTTATTTGACTTTTACAAAATAAGTTAGGATAAAAGCAAGTTAATGTAATATAATTTACATTTGGATTAGCTTTTATAAAAAAGTTAATTTGAGAGGTTGAAACTTATTTAGATGATTAATATAAAAGCAAATTTATATGTAAAATGACTAAAAAGGATATGAATTTCACTTAAAAATACATACTTACATTATATGTTTATAATGTGATAATAGTTAGAGAATAATTAAAATTAAAATTATAAAGATAAAAGTAGTTGTTATTGAGAAAAAAATTAAAAGTATATTTTGGTTAATTAAATATATTTAATGGGCAAATATGAATATAAATTAAAATTCATGCAAATTATAATTCTCCATATCATTAAACATTATTAATGAATATTTCCACTTTTTGAGGAAAATAGTCATAAAAGTTCAAAACAGAATATGATGAATCCTTCCATATCATTAAATAAGCTGAATATAAAATGATCGAATAACACTACTACAAAAAAAAAATTTAACGGCGGTTAAAATGAGCTTTTTACGGCAATTTTGAGGGTGACGTCTATGCCATCAATGTAAACTGTAGAGAATTTTACAGCGGTTTAAGAACCGCCGTGGTGTGTGACTTTTCACGGCGGTTATATAAATAACCGCCGTGAAATTTTTTTTCTTTTTTAGTCTACGTTTCACCTTGTTGATCAGAATTGAATGGAAGAACAAAGTCTCAAAGGAAGGGGTCTGAAAATTAATTAACCAATAATCTCTCACCAGTTAAAAGCATTCTGATAGAGCAAACGTAGATTTTTTCTCGCCGTAATAGCGCCACTTGGCTTCACCTTCAACTGCCAAATCGAAGCCACTAAGATTTAATAAAGATAAAATCAAAGACTTAGATCGAATAAAAATCAGATCTCTTTAAAGCTAGATTAAACATCATATTTTTAACCAAAGAAAATAATTATATTAAACCACAAAAACTATGAAATCCACAGAAAGAATGGAGATGAAAAACTCACAAATAAGAATGAAGAGGATGAGGCGATGGCAACAGCAACAGCGATAGTGATGGTGATGGAAGAACATGGTGGAGATGATGGAAGCAAAGGATAAATGCCGACAAAGGTAGGAGGAGGGAGAAAATCGAGTGAAGATGGTAATGGGGACTATGAACTCTGACTCTGAAAGTGAAAACTATCACGTAATGGATTTTAAAATTCTGATAGACTTTTTATGACGGTTTGAAAACCGCTGTAAAAAATACTTTTAACGGAAGTTTTTTAAATAACCACCTTTAAAAGTATGCTTATAATTACAGTAATATCACTATCATATTTTTTATAGTGTTTTTTCTAATAATCATCATAAATTAGCGTCATAAAAACTCTTTTTTGTGGTAGTGTAAACTGAATTTTGGATATCGTGCAGGGGCAGCTACTGGGTGGGTAAAAAATTTAAGATGCATTTAATGATGGTCAACAACTTTATTTACCCACAGACGTAAAAGCAAGTAAAAGTTGAAAAGTCTACATATTTCTTTCTTGAATATGTGGGGCTATGCTTCGTTGGATTCGCATATCTGAATTGATATTAAACTCAGAATTCTTACAAATTTTTTTGGCGCGGACGGCTGCCTTAATATAAATAAGCTTCTTCAATGTTCTTCTTTTGCCTTTAAGGAAGACTTTCCATTTTATTAATTTCTTTTTAATTCTGTTTCTTATGGTTTAGTATCCAGAACTACTTTTGATAAGTTCGGAAATTTTCTTTCTTTACTTACTTTATTTTATTTATGAATATCATTTTGCTTTGACTCAAAAAAAAAAAAAAAGAAGTAAAAGTTGGATCATGACTAGTTTCATCTAAACTTTAAAAAAAAAAAAAACTGCTTTTGGCTGTGGGGATGCACGTTTGGGAACACAGCCTTAAGTCAACTCAATTTTCTTAATTATAAATGAATGTTTATGCAAACAATGGCTTGCGTCAATTAGAAACTAGAAGACTAAAGTGTACATTTGGTCTTTTAACTTTATACAAGGTTTCAAATTGGTTCTTTAATTTTAAAAAGCATGCATTTGGTCCTTTAACCCTAAAATCATTAGGTTTCAGTGATGATTTTTTGTGGCAATCATAGATGTTTTGAAAATTGAACTTAATATGTTACCATTTGAGAATCTTTTATCAACATTTAAGATCTTAATGTTATCATTTTTTTAAAAATTTTGGGCTTAAAAAACTAAAAGTATACTTTTTAAAGTTAAGGAACCAAATTGAAACCTTATACAAAGTTAAAGGACCAAATGTATACTTTAGCCAAACTAGAAAGCTCTTCATTCTTTCCCTTTAATATAAGAAGTGGCCGCCGCTGTTGCAATGGCGTAAATGAGAAATATATGGGGAGAAAAATCAAAATTACAGCAGCGGTTAAACAAGTAACAATTTTAACTTATCAAATAACAACTAAGACGATGACATCTAACTTCAGTAAAAGTAATTAGATCATTTCACAGAGACCAAAAAAAAAAGGGACAACTTAATTCTAAATAGCCTTTAAGAACTTCATAAGAATTAAGCCATTTCAAGATATCATTTTGAGATTATTATATTTCAGTGGTTTTAAGTATTTTCTTCCTTTCAAATACATATGGAAATCGAACTGGTCCAAACAAAAATCCCAAATAGACGATATAACGATGGCACCCAATTAAAAGTGAAGAATAAAAGGAGATCAATTCGAAATTGAAAAAGGGGAGGATTTACCTTCAAAGAAAAAGTAAATAACACAAAGAACCAAAGCGCAGCCTTACCAAAGAAATAGCAGAATGAGATTGTGACTTCACCAACCAAATCTTGAAGAACAAGAGATGATGAGTGGAAAGATGAGGTAGAAGAGAAAGATAAACAAAGAGACAATATACAGAAAACAAGTAAGTAGATCATCTCTGCCATGAGCTTCATTTTAAATTGTATAGCACAAAACGCACAAAATCTTCGCCATTTCCTTATTGTATGTTGGCACTTTTGGCTCATTCCCAAATTTTGAAAATTCGAGCAACACCTTTAAAAACTTTTGGTCAACCCTCTAATCTTGAATGTAGCTCCCTTTCTTTCTTCCTTTTTAAATTTTACGCTAAAATACACAAACCCTCCTTAAACTTTTAATCAGTTGCACAACCCCTCCATAACTTTAACTGAAGACCTTAATATTTCCTGTTTTGACTATCAATCTCCTCCTGTTAAAGTTAATGGTTTTCACCATGTCATAAGTTTTATAATACTCCTCCGGTCCTAATTATAAGACCCAATTGACTTATTTGAGGAGATTAAGGAAGTAAGTTAAGTTGGTTATTTATAATAAATAAGTGTTGTCATTCCTAAAATATCCTTGCTAATTAAGTATATTGGCTAAAACTATCATTATTAGAAGGATTATCTTGGAAAAAAATGCATAAATATAAGAGACAAAATGGATTGAGTCTTATAATTAGGACCAAATAAAAAGTCAAATTGGGTCTTATAATAAGGACCGGAAGAGTATTTTATTATATACCATATCATTTAAAAAATAATACTTAACATCTGACATATAATTTTTAATATCTTCAAATACTTTAAATAAAATATTTAAAAATTATAAAATACTTTAACAACGTTTAAAATATTTATTTGACCATATCTTTTTAAATTAAAAAATATAAAACACTTAAAATTACATTTCAAACACTAAGAATTATTTCTCAAATGATATGGTACATAATAAAAAATATAAAAATTAATACATGGGAAAATTGTTAACTTTGATGATAATTTTAATGGCGGGGGTATATAGTCAAACTATGAAATACTAGGGTTTTTAGTTTAAAATTTAAATTTTTAAAGGTTATGGAGGTGATATGCGACTGACTCAAAATTTAAGGAGATTTTGTATAATTTAACCTTAATTTTAATTAAACATAGGAAGATGATTTTTCATCCCAAAAATTATTATACATTTTATCTTAAATTTTAGTTATTTGTTTCTTCTTTGGTCAACGTTCTTTCTTTATTAAATGGTCAATGGTCTCTGTTTTTTTTTTTTTGTATACGACTGGTCAATGGTCTTTTTATTATGCATGCAAGTGGTGTGTCATAATAAAATGGTGTGTCATATTAAATTGGGTGGGACCGGGGGATGAGACAACTACTTTTTGTCCAATGTTGAAATTAGTTTCCAGACTTTAATTTGTACATATTAAAATAGTTTTTTTTATTAACTGAGTAGTTCTTAATACAAAAAACTAAATATGACATTTTTAGAA